AATAAAAAATATTAAATATTAAAAATGAGAAATAATTGTTTATGTGTGTGTATAGGGTGTCCTGCATCGAGCGCACGGCAATGATACATTCTTGAAATCATTTTCAGATAAAAATCTTAATATTTTTAAATGGAAAGCATTTTTTATAAAGTGGATCAATCAAGTTGTTGCAAATTCCATCTGTTAGTTCATTATGTTAAAAGTATTCTGTGTTAAGTTCTACGATAGGTAAAACCTAATTTCCTATTGGGAATATATTTTTTGTAAATCTACGACTAACATCGTACGAAAATATCTCTTATATAGTTCGCTTCGGTATTTTCCACATCGACCCGCAGGTCAAAACCTTGTGCAACCCGCAGAGTTTCTAAGAATGTGATTCATGATTTGTGTAAGCTGTCGAATGTAGTTCTTCGATATTGTTATACTTTGTACTCGTTATTTTACTACTCCGTTAAGCTTTTTTAAATCATGTACACCGATCCCGCATACCGACATGCTCGAGTTCTTTCAACTATCACGTAAGATGCTGTTTTCATAAAATTCCATCTGCATAGTATACGGTGGATAGAAATGAGAGACTCTTTTCTCGCGAGATAAATTAACGCAACGGCAAAAAAAGAGTCACTCGCTAACCCGACTGCCTGCTTTCCTTTAGTCCGGGATACAACAGCGGAGCGCAAAGTAACGCCGCAAGGCGGAACCGCGGATCACACACGGGAAACGTATCTCGAGGGGGGAGGGAACGGAAGAGGGGGGCGGGTGGCAGGCCGAGCAGGGAGGAAAAGGGGGAACGACGAGGTACAACAGAGCCAGAGCACCCTTCGCACGCTGTAGCGGCACAACCACACTTCGCCACATCGATTTTACCGGCTCGCTTGCACTCACACTCGGTCGACCCGTTCACTGAAGGAATGTCTCATATGCCTCCCTCCTCCTCCTCCTCCTCTTCTTCTCTCTTGTCCCTCCCCCTCGTCGTATTCCCTCCTCTTCTTCAGACCCCCGCGCTCTGCTGCTGCGCGCACCCCCCGCAGATCCTGTCTCCGTCAGTCACGCCGGTTCTCTTTCTATCTTATCCCGCCGTCCATCCTCCTCCTCCATCCAAGCTCGCCAACGTACCCTCCCTCCTCTCCCCGTCCCTCTTTCTCTCTCTCTCTTTCTCTCTCTCTTCCTCTCTCTCTTCCTCTCTCGTTCGCTTGTGCACTCTCTTCCAAAGTGTCCCTCTTTCTCTCCATCACTGTTGTGTGATGCGGGGCGGTAGCGGCACCGCGGGGAGAAGTGGGAGGGAGGTTGCACCTTTTGCCGCATCTCGGAATCTCGCGCGTTGCTCATTTGCCGTACATAGAGAGGAGCGAGCGAGAAAGAGAGAGAGGAGAAAGAGAGATGGAGTCACGGAGGGAACAGATAGAAAGAGAGAGAGAGAAACCTCGGAGCTAGGTAGTAGTATGCGAGAGTGGCGGCGGCACGGTGGTCGGACAGTTCCAGTTCCGTTTCGATTAGGCGAGTCCACGCGCGCCGGGTTTTTGGCTCGCGCTCTCGTAATACGCCGAGTGAGGAGAACGTACGCGTGATGCCGTTTGCCGTGATCATTGACGCTGCACGGTGTTGCCGTTGCCGTTGCTGTCGTCGTCGCCGTCAGTGCTCGTGCCGCTGATGTTACCGTCTCTGCTGTTTACCCGGCGCGCCAGCCGCACGCCACATTTACAAGTGCATCCAGGAGGAAACGAAGTGAACGGACCTCGTGCGAGAGAAGCGCGAGAGGGACAGACAGAGAGAGAGAAAAGGAGAAAGAGCTCCTCTCGCGTACAACGCGTTACGACGCGACTCGGTCTCTACGTACTACGGTTCGTTCGTGAACAAACCGACCTCGCGGTTATGGCCACGCCAGGGCCAGGTCACCAGGATTACAAGTGTGCACAGTAAAGTCTGCATGCCCCGATTTACTGGGTTCGGTATATGCACGTACGTATACGCCAAGCCATCTCTGCGCGATCGCTCCATATACGTATACACGCGTACACATACTCATATACATAGAACTGTACACACGCATATCTTGCCTACGCGCACGTCATGTACACGCAGTGTCATCCGTCTCGACAGCAGATCACACCGGCAGCGCAGAGAGAGAAAGAGAGAGACAAGATCCTTCGTGTCTCTCCGTCGGCCCTCTAGCCCAGTTCCGGGCACGGCCACTGATCCATCGATAAGGAAGTTTGCTGTCCTCTCGCGCGGTGGGATTTGTTCCGTGCCGGTCGTGCGCGCGATACGCGAGGAATCCGCAGGGATCGAGCATCTCGTTGTCGCATAGTCGGGGTCGAGGCGCGATGCACTACTACTACTATTACTACACTATTGTGCCGGTCACGTGACTTTCAGATACCTGCGACGCGGTGCAAATTACAGGTTGAATGACAATAAAACAAGCTCGATTAGATATCGATAAAATGTTTACTGTGGATTCGATTTTTCTTATATGTATGTTACTTTTAAACTTCCTTGTGTATCGACTTGTCATTTCGCGAAGCATATCGTTCGTTCTTTATTTTCTCTAACAAACGTCAGGTTGATTATCATGGCGATCGATATCTCTCGACGAAAAAAAGGATTACGTTTAATTTTCTGTAATAGTGTTTCTAAAGTAAAACGTTGCATATTTACTTATTCTTTAAATCAATCTCGACAATTATACTGCGAGAAGTAATTACGTTTATAAAATTATTAAAGTAGAAATAATAAGTATTAATTGCCGTTACTAACCTGATTTTGTCAAACGGGATCACAGCATCGATCGTCGCGAAGGAACTAATTTTGACCATGATGAGTTAAGTAAGCGATTATCGCGATTTACTTCATTACGCGAGGTTTGTTCTTCGCAATTCTCATGTGCGCCTTCTTTCCCTTCAATGTCTGCGCACCGTGATATAAATAAAATAAAATAATCTCGGAATAGTGCCACGACAAAAATAAAAGCGTCATCAATTTAAGTGGATCACGCGGCAATGTTGGCGGGCGTGCGATAAGAAGTACGTAACGTAATCGAATTACAATCAGGCTGGAACTTTTGGGCAATTCGTGAAAGGAGAGAGGAAGCCTTGTTCGTGCCGCCGCCCTTGCATAACTTCAGTGCATATTGGTGATGGCGCAATATTCAAAATACAGAAATCTTTCTAAAGTTGTCGGGAACTCTTATAACTTTATGAACGAAGAAGATACAATTGCTATACGGTAATATCTAATTACATCGAACCGTTTAATAACTTTCTGCGCTCACTTTTTACGATCGCAACTCTTCGATCTCTTACAAATGACAATAAAAGCTAAGAGTATATCCAAACAAACTTAAATAGCGCATAAGCATATGGACCAATCAATTTTCTTATGCATCTTATGAACTAATCTATTTTCTTATGCACTATGTAAGTTTGCTTGAATATACCCTACTCTCACATGTGCGATTTGCTTGCGGCAGCAACAGCATATGCACGTTAATTCGGTGGACGGATGTGAGTTTAGTCGACGCGGCGCGTTGTTCATAGCAACAAGGCGAGAAAAATTGAGAGAAGAGGGCAAGGGGGAAAGGGAGATACGCGTAGGTGCGTAATTTATCGCTACGCGGGACGCGCAACGGCCGCTCGACGACGTCACACTCACGCGCCGCGACCGGCTGGAATGACGTAGCGTGTCGTCGCTCTCTTCTCTCACTTTATCGATGCTGTTAATCGAAGGCGCAGCGCGCGCGCGGGCCCCCCTGCCGCTCAATGCTCTCCCCTATGTCATCGTCGGTAGCCGCGGCCGCGGACGCCGCGCACGAAAATACAAGAGCCAGTTAACCAACTAAGGCTCTGACTCCCATGAGCCGTGCGAGTTTCAGAAACGCAACGTCGTAGCGAGTAAAACTGCCCCCTCGCGATACGCGTCCGTGTTTTCCCGATCCCCTGTGCATTTCTCCGATCGTGCGCCGTCAAGTTCTTGCTTCCTACCCCGCGACCGTACCACCCTAACTTAATCTAACCCAACCCCTAACGTAACTTAACCTAACCTAACCCAAACCTAAACCTAAACTTTCCTTCCCTCGCCGCTCGTGCTCTCCCCCTCCCCTCCTGGCATGCTCGTTGCCCCTTAGAATCTCCGTCGCCCTTCCGCTCCTCCCTCCCTCCCCCCTGCACGCCGCTCTAAGGTCCTCCATTTTGTCGTGATTCCTCTAACTCTAAACGTATATCGGACATTTCCATTGCACGTCGTCACTACCGTTCGCGGCACGACTGTGCAAAATTCTACTTGCGGTTGACACACCGCCAATCGGCCCAGTGTACGATTACTATGGGATTCCACCATAGGTCGTCCTGGAAGGTGTCAATCTCTCTCTATCGTTCACTCTTTCTCTCTTCTCTCCATGCGCGCTCGTTTCTCTCTGTCTCACAAACTCTCGCTATCTCTCTTGCTCTTTATGCGCTTACAATCTGTCATCTTCCTTGCACTTATCGTTTCCATCCTCTTTTTTCCCCTCCATGCCGCCCGGCGCCCCTCGTTCCTCCCCTTTCTCCTCTCCGCAAGTCTTTCTCTATCCTTCCAGGTTTATTCCCCCGTAGAGTGTAAATCGTGTCTTTTTAACAACACGTAAATTCTCTTAAGGCACCGTAGCATTGTACGCCCGGTTTCACCGTTCGTGTAGCGTAACCTCTCTTATACCGTCGAGAGGCATCATTGAGTCTTTCATCTCGTGTTGCCTCGTATTTTCATCGTTCTCGTGCTCATTTTCATCGTTGTCATTATTATTCGATCGTGGTCGAACTCATTACCGTTCGCTCTCATCGTACGACTCGTCTTTACTATGTGGCGGCGACGTGCTATATTCCCAATAACGGTTGAGTCGTTCAAACGCTCGTCGTGACTGTAATTTGTCACTATTTGGTTCGTTGCATTGTTTTTTTTTTTTCAACAGTTCCTGTTGTGACTTGTTTCTAATATAATTCACGCCATTTGTCATCTGCTTTCAGATGTCTGCTGGGTCACAAATTCAGATGGCACCCCAAACAACCGTAAACTCTGGTCAGGCAGTTCATAGTCAAGACTCGAACATGAGCACTGGTAAGTCAGAATCTTTCTTCTAAAGACAATGTATAAATCTTATCTTGGAAATATTAGGAAGTAAATTCTTCGCACATTCTGGTCCTTTGAGCAATCAACTTGCCTCAAGGATAAAGTTATGTGCATTTGGAAAACTACTGTCAAAACTACTGTTAAATATTCTTAAATAAATACATATTGATTCATTATTGTGATACTGATAATGGAACCATATTACATAGGCTCATCGCATAGTGATAAGGAGGTGGATGCAAACACTCCGGAAAAGATACCAAGGATTACTTCTGAAAGAAAGAGAAAACGTAAGGCTGACGACGGAAGTGGGGGTGTTCCAGGTGGTTCTGTGGCAAGTAAAGGCGCTAGATCAATTGCTGCCCTTGATAATAAGAAGATCAATGAGTATTTTCCAAAGCATCATCTGGGCAACAGTCCTATTCGACATGGTGGAGCTAAGAGTCCTTCTCCTCAACAGGGTTATCCTATGGTAAAATTCAAAACAAACAATATAAAGATGTTGAAAATATATTTTTTTAAATCTATATATCAATACATCTTTGATTCTCCTGTTTTATATATATTTTTCTGTCTGCAGTATCCGCCATCGCCTCAACAGTTACTACCACAAGTAACAACACCTAATTCTTCAGTGGCGGAATTCTCATCGTTGATGCAGCCACCAAGACCTCATCCTCCACCTCATCCTCAACCTCCACCACCAGCCTCGACACAACCTGCGGGCTCGATGGTCAGCAAGCAGGTGCAGGTAAGGCCTACCAACCTCAATAGGACAAGCCAGGTCAGGCAAGCGAAGACTAACACCCCAAATGTAAGCAAAATTCGGTAATACCTGCAAGCATTTTATAAGAAACGACCCATAGTTTGTCTATATCACTCTTCAGTATTTCTATCACAACAATCAGCAGTTTGTAAAGATGTGTAAGCTTAAACATTTCTAAAAGTTTTTTCATTATTAATATTATTTTTAAATATAATAATTTTGCTATTGTATGCTAAGTGAATAATAGCAAACCTACTATTGCTATCATTCTTAATGAGCATTCTAAAGTGTACTGATAATAGTTGTCTAACTAAAAACTTTTATAAATGGTTTACGAAGATTTGCTTTTGGTTAATTTTTGTATAAACTGCTAAGAACATTATACAGTAATAACAGAAATATGATTACTGTTGTAAAGATTAATTCTTTCTATCTCAAATCTTTCATATATTTTTTCTAAAGTGCTTTTGCTTACCTAAAAAAAATACTTTGTAGATAGATCAGGATTCTTTGTATGCCTGCATTTGTGACTTTGTGATGGGCATTTCTTGTCAAATGTTTGCAGTAGAATCAGCTAATTTTTTGGCCAGACTGTAGCTCTGTATACATTTGTTATTGTACAGTAAATACAGGCTACCTTGTAGTGCCATTCTTTGCTGTGAGATATTTGTCTTGAGAATAAAGTGCTTTTGAAAATGGAAAGTTTGGTCGTTCGAGTATAAAAAAGCATTAAAAACATATTTTGTTACTTTGACATATGCACTTTGGCATTTATTTGTTGGGATTTGTTGAACATCGCATTTGAGTTCTAATGAATCCGATATCGTTTGACTGTTTCAAAGTGAAATCAATTTTGTTGGGGTTTATAATTATTGACGTTTACATATGCGTACATTTTTGGTGTTTTTCTTCCTGCCTGTGTGATCCTCAGTTTCATCAGCATTTGTTCACGTTGCCTGAGTTTTGTTGTCTAGTTTATTTTCAATAATAAAGAGAAAGTCATATGTCGTAGTGTAACGTAGAAATGATCATGTTATGTAATTGAACACACATGGTTATCTTCGCCAAATATGGACGCTGGTATCCGTGTAATTTTGCTGACAAATTGTTGACAATTTGTTATATTTATTCACATATTATTCTCTTTTCACGTGCAAGGTATCCGATATTTACGAGCAATTATGAACTGACAAATGTATCAGACGTTACGGTAACATTTACAATTTATCGTACAATCATATAAATTGCATTCCAGACAGAACTTACTTGCCAGAGGATACAGGAGTTCGAAAATCAAGCCTCTTCGGATTTAGAATTACGTAACAATAAAATTGATGAATTAAATAGGGTAAGTGTATTTGTGATTATATATTAAATTTTCATCTTTGTATTGAATTATATAAAATATATGACATAAAGACTATTGTGTACAAAAATCATGTCTCATGCATCTTAATAACACGATGATAAATTAATCCAAATCCAACTAAAAGAACATCTGTTCTTTGAATCTCTGTTACAGACAACGGACGAACTTAGGCATCAAATGGCTAATCAACAGAAAGTGATTGAGCAGCACAAATCACATATAAATAAGTGTATAGACGTTGTAAAGAAGTTATTAAAAGAAAAATCAAACATAGAAAAAAAGGAGGCTAGGCAGAAGTGTATGCAAAATAGACTGAGGTTGGGCCAGTTCGTAACGCAGAGGGTAGGCGCGACCTTTCAGGAGAACTGGACCGACGGTTACGCATTTCACGAGCTTGCGCGGCGGCAAGAGGAGATCGCGACCGAACGGGAGGAGATTGACAAGCAGAAGAAGCTGCTGCTCAAGAAGAGGCCGTCGAACAGCGAGACAGGCAGGAAACGTAGTCAACCGCAACCATCCCTGCATAATGGCACCGAAGCGACGTTTTTGAAGCCAGATGCAGTGCCTGGGTCGTATACATGGCAGGAGTATTATGAAGCTGACGAAATACTCAAGGTATCACGATAATTTGCGATTCCTTAAAATACCCGACTTGTCGACAATTCTCAAACCTCGCAATTACGTGTGTATCCACAGTTAAGGCAAAGCGCGTTGAAGAAGGAAGACGCGGATCTGCAACTAGAAATGGAGAAGCTCGAGAGGGAGCGGAACCTTCACATCAGAGAGCTGAAGCGTATTCACAACGAGGACCAATCGAGATTCAACTCCCATCCTGTTTTGAATGAACGTTACCTCTTACTAATGTTATTAGGCAAAGGCGGTTTCAGCGAAGTGCATAAGGTGACAAAACGTTTTCATTTATTTGTTTTATTAACTGTGTTAATTTGTATAACTCCAGTATGAGAATATTTAATTTCTCACAACTTATGTATCTCTCGTATTTTCGTATAGGCATTTGACTTAAAGGAGCAACGGTACGTAGCTTGCAAGGTGCATCAATTAAATAAAGACTGGAAAGAAGATAAAAAGGCTAATTATATAAAGTGAGTTTTACCAAACTTTACAATTGTTTCTTAAAAACACATTAACTTGTTTATTGAAATGACTGATTAATCTAAAAGTACTTTAATAACGATATTTGTTTCTTAATAAAGAAAGAAAATATTTTTACCTATTTCTTTCTGTTGCAGGCATGCGTTGCGAGAATATAATATACACAAAGCATTGGATCATCCCAGAGTCGTAAAATTGTACGATGTATTTGAAATTGATGCCAATTCCTTTTGTACCGTACTGGAATATTGTGATGGCCATGATTTAGATTTTTACCTTAAGCAGGTAACTATCTAATTATTCTACGCAAGTCTTCTGCTTCAGCGATAGCTGCAAAAATGTTTTTATTATTTTCAAACTGTATCTCAAACTGTATCTCTGTTTTCTTTGCAGCATAAGACTATACCCGAGAGAGAAGCGAGATCTATTGTTATGCAAGTCGTATCGGCATTAAAGTACCTCAATGAAATAAAACCCCCAGTCATACATTACGATTTAAAACCAGGTAAATTTCTTACAAATCTAAATTCTTTATCAAGAGGATATAATTTTCGAAGAATTTTGCGATAAGAAAGATTATTTTTGGAGTAAGCAAGCGTGTAATTTTGTTTGCAGGTAACATTCTATTAACCGAAGGTAATGTCTGTGGCGAAATTAAAATCACAGACTTCGGTTTAAGTAAAGTTATGGATGAGGAGAATTACAATCCAGATCACGGAATGGATCTGACGTCTCAAGGAGCGGGTACTTATTGGTACGTGTTTTTACACCTGTTATCTCTCAAATTATTCTGTCACATTTATTATTGTTGATTTTTATTGGAAATTATCAATCCGCTGCAGGTATCTACCTCCTGAGTGTTTTGTTATTGGCAAAAATCCTCCTAAAATATCGTCCAAGGTCGATGTGTGGAGCGTAGGAGTTATATTTTACCAATGCCTATACGGTAAAAAGGTATTTATCGCAATATTGCATTTACAAAGTTTTGCTTATCATTGGCGAGTATAATAAAAATATATATTTTATTATTTTCACAGCCTTTCGGTCATAATCAATCGCAGGCTACCATTTTAGAAGAAAACACGATACTGAAAGCCACGGAAGTTCAGTTCGCGAATAAACCAACTGTTAGCAACGAAGCAAAGGTAATTGTTGCCACAGTGCGGTGTTTTTATTTACATATAAAAATTACATCGGCAACCGCTTTACAATGTTGAAAATTTTCTTGTCACAGAGTTTCATAAGAAGTTGCCTAGCGTATAGGAAAGAGGAGCGCATAGACGTACTGACACTAGCTAGACACGAATACCTGCAACCCCCAGTGCCAAAACATGGCCGCCAAGCGAACAGCCAGCAACAGCAGCAACAACAACAGATTCAGCAGCAGCAGCAAAGCTCGTTCAACATCGGTGGTATGTTTAGTGGTATGAACGCGTCGAGCAGTTCGTAGTGGAGAGGAAGGACTAAGGACGAAATCCACGATACCAATACATGCCAAATCTTGAGCGCTCGGACTGTGCACACCATTTCATCTTAGGGAAATAACGCGATTGCTATAACCAATTGTAAATACTAAAACCGGATACTATCACCGTCACCACCCACCACCACCACTATCACAATTATTACCACCAACCACCACCGCCATCACCACACCGTCACAACTATACTTACAGGATCGACTACATAGGACATTGCAAGAGAGATGCGAGACTGGTCACCCGCAAGTCCAGAAGCTTGCGTCTTTCTACAAGCCACGCCACATTATTCAGCATGACAAGAAACAATGTTGTGTTCGTAAATATTCAATTGTATTATCGTTCCTTGTATCAAACAGTGCGCTGACTTGATAATAGCGTTTAAAAGAAACGAGAGAGCGAGAGAGAACGAACGAGCGTGCGAGCGAGAAGATAAACATGTGATAAGTCATTATGAGTTACAAGTGACGCCTAGATTAAGGGGAAGGGGGGGAAATAGAGCATGTGTGTGAGAGAAAGTAAAAGAGAGAGAGAGAGAGAGAGAAAGAGAGAGAGAACACAGGTAAAACGAAATAAACCTTACGAGATTTTTTTCGGTGGAAGCAAAATCAACTCCCTGAGATAAAGAAAGCAACGAAGAATAGGAGGAAAAAAAAGTAGAAAGAAATCGAGAAAAGCAATTGGAGCAATCGCTTTCACGGAGACGACGTTCCTCTCTCCTGGCGTTTAGTGTGCGTGAACGAACGCTAGAGGATTGTTAAAATTAGTGTGAGTGTATATATTTATACTATATATATAAATATATATATAAAAACTAATAAAATCTGACATAATATATATATATGGTGTAAAAAGGACGACAAGCATTGACAGTGGGAAGACAACTGTGGTGGCTCTATCCTCGCATGACCTCCGGCGCCGGTACCCGGCATTCCATGAATGCTCGGCCCGCGCATCATGTTACTTTATTCGAATATTAACATTATTACCTGTATCATCACTAATAACGATTAACATACACGCGCATCCACGTCCACACACGAGAAACACGTACACGACACGTATACACGAAGGAGATTTGGTTGGTTGTTCCTATTCTGAGACGAGAGTGTAATTTCCGGAACAATAGTCCGATAGAGAGCGAAGTGAGAGTCGCATAACGAGAGAGAGATAGAAAGAAAGAGAGAGAGAGAAAGTCGCGATGTGCTCCCAAAGTGAAAAGAAAAAAAAAAAAAAGAAAACATTAGGATTGTAGTCCACCAACCATCACAATCATTTGTAAAAAAGAAACCCGTTCTCACGCGTGTATAATTTAAAACCCCGAGATTTGTTGTAAAAAACCAGGCCGCGCGTTTACGTTTTTCCTCCTTCACTCTTCCTTCTCTTCTCTCTCTCTCTCCTCTCCTTTCGTTTCTCCCCCTTTTTCTCCAGAGAAAGAGAGAGGGCGAGAAGGAGCGAGAGAGAGAGAGCGAATCCAAATGTGTGTATAGAGCAAGTTTTGCGCAAACGGCTAGACGCATTCATTCATTAATTGGGCTACAATGAGATAAAAAAAAGAAAAGATGAGGAAGACAGAAAAGGCAAATTTTTAAGGTGAGAGAGCCGTGAAAAACGCTATACCGACCCAATAATTATTTCTTTACTCGTAATTTGTTTTATATATGTACGTTATATATAGATAATTATGAAATAGAAGACTAAGTTATTTTATCAAGTGCCCTTGCTTTGTATTATAGTCGCGTCCGTCGACGAGCCGCAGCTTCTGGGAGTAAAAGAGAGCGAAAGAGAGAGAGAGAGCGAGAGAGAGAGAGAGCGAGCGAGCGAAAAAGAAGAAATGGAGAGCATGTGTTAAGAACGAGAGAATATGAGTGACTGAGTGAACGAGTGCATGTGTTGTTAAAAAGTGTTGCGTCAGTTGTTGGTACAACGTGGGCACCGGGTATTGATGACGACTCAATACCATCAATGTGATTGGCAAAAGTGTGGTGAGAGAGGAGAATACATTACAAGTCTGAAAAGAGTCTACTACTTAGATCCGTCGCTTCAATTTTGAAGAAAAAAAAAAAACGCCAACTACTCCCGCATCCCGCATCCTACTTCTCGTAAGAAGACATGCAATCGCAGGTGCATTTTTCTTTTTTCTTCTTTTTTTTTTTTTAAATATTTATTTTTGCAAAGTGCGATGTCGATCATCTCGTGTCCATTGACGATCCTCCCACGGGGTTAATTCCAAAACGGTATGTAATTTCCAGAAATGATATGTAATTTGACATAGCTGATATGATGACTGATGTGGATTTTTTCGAAATCTGTTTTGCTGATCTGCGGAAGAGTGGGACGCAAGTATTATTAAGTAAATAAATGGAAAAAATTGTTATTTGCATATTTCCTCTGTATCGTTTCGATGAATATTTCAAGTCGAGTAAAGCTAGTCTTTCAAAATTTGTTGCAACCGGCCTCAAAAGAATTGTCCGAAGGTATGATTCAACGAGCACTTGCCATACCGAAACCTTTATATCGTGGCGATAAAAAAAAAAAACCGAGAACTTATACGAGAGCACAATAGAGTAATGTTCGTGCACTCTTTGCGACAAGGATTTTACATTTGTACATATCTATCGAATCATCCTCCCGGGAACACAATTGACAACGTTACCGCGCGCAAATGCAAAAGAGCAAATGAGAGAAAAAGAACTTTTTATCTACAAACGAGTTTTTTTTCCACTGAGCACAAATAGTAAGAAAAAAGTATCTCCCTATTGATTAAAATCTGTCACCAAATTTATATACTGTCAAGTATCACAATCGAAACACTTCTTTTCAATTATCTCTGCGCGTGTCGGCATAGTCACGATCTTCCCTATAATGAAACATGAAAAAAAAAAACAACCAAAATAGGAATTGCGTCGAGGATGGTGTATGAAACGTTATAGCAATAAATTTACGTATTTGTGTATAATTTAAAATTAGTAAACTTATTGATTAATTATAAAACACGCATCTTACGATGTGTATTACCTCCGCCGCTGCTTTTTGTTTCGTTTCTTTATTGTTATTTTTTTCTTCTTTTTTTTCTGGTAAACAATATTAAACAATGAATTACCGTGTGTCTAAAAAGATAGAACATTTTATTTATACATATACGTACGTATTTCAGTATATGAATTATATAAAAATGAAAATTGCTGAAGATACGAAGTATTGATTAGGCTGCGAAAACGGCGCGCGCTTGACCGAGGATCGGTTTCGGTAATTTTATATAACCGGCTTTGTATCGAGATGCTCTCAATAGCGAGCGTAAGATCGCCGCGCTAATTGCAATTACAATAATTCTCTTTATTCTTATTCTACGAATGAACAAATACGCATACACAGAGTTAGTTATATATGCAGTCAGAGGTTGAATAAAATGAACACCAATATGCTTCAAAATTAATTAGTTTCCTCAGTTCCGCGCGTGGGTTAACATGAGAAATAGATAAAAATAGAAAAAAAATTATAGAAGAAAGAAGAGAAGAGGAGTCGTCGGGGAAACTAATTAGCTTTTGATTCGTATTTAGCCTCCACCTCCTTTTGCTGACTGTAGTTTCGATTGTGACTGCCTCAGTTCCGATTATACTGAGAACCGTACGGCTCTCGCTCAGCATT